GTAGCTCTTATTTAGCTGCCTTATATATAGCTGCAGTTTGAATTTAGCTGCCCAAAATACACTTCTTTGATGCCTTTTCTCAGATTCCCTCTAAAATATTTCGTTTATGCGCACATTTATGATAACAGCTCAGAAAATTTACAATCTTTTCCTCTCAATACTTAAATTTTTTGCATTTAGCTACACAGGTAATATCAAGTTAAGAAACATTCGATATTTTTTTACACATCGTTGCAAAACATACAAAAGGAATGTTTTTTTTTGTCCCTAGAGTTGGGCAATCTAGTCACTTAGCGGATCGATCTTTCTCGTTCCTTTTTTAAAAAGGAAATAGTTCCTTAATGTAGTTCCTTTGCTCCATATAGTTAATTTACTCCATACAGTTTCTTTGCTTCATATAGTTCCGTTCCATCGTTCTTTTTAGTTTTTTTCGCACACATTGTTTCGTGATAATCTGTTAATAAATGCAAAAATTGAAAAAAATGAAATGAAGCTAAAGAATTCAAATGCAGGACAATAAGCACAAAATATTTATTTATAAATTAATAAAAATATTTAAAAAAAAAAAAAAAATAATAAAATAAAATTTAACTTTTTATACAATTTGAAATACGAACGAATGAAGAATATGGGAATAAAGGAACGAGATCAGAAAAAAAATAACGAGAAAAAAAGGAAAAGACAAAAGAACGAGATAAATAGGATCTATATTAATTTCAGAGCTGGAACTAGTTCCGATCGTTCCTTTCTCGAAATAGTTCAAATGAACAAGTTCGTTCCGGGACTACCCAACTCTAATTGTCCCATCGAACCTTTGACCGTCGTTTAAGCGATTTCGACTGTATATTGGAAATTTTCGTTTCTAAAGATGGGCTACATTCTTTTATCCAAACACTTCCAGTTTGTACTTCGGTTTCTTATTGGTGGAAAATAAAATAAAATAAAAATCTCAAGAATTTTTGAAGATATAACCGAGTTATTGTATTAGCATCAAGTGACAGATTCTCAAACTTTAAACGCGTTTTTCTCAAAACATCGTTATTGTGAATGGCGGTCATGATAACTCAAAAACTAATAACCCAATCGTTTTCAAATTTTGGGACGTTTCTCTGTGAGTGTATATCTATCGTATGAACTAGCCAATCGGTAACGATTTTCCTTATTTTTTATCTTGGTTTATGGTCAAAAATAGGCGATTTTCCAAAAATTTTGCATAAGGTTGTCTTTTGTCTGCAGGCAGTTTAAGTTCGAAGATGGGATATATCGGTCCACGTTTAGGCATAGCTCTCATATAACAGTACCCCCCCAATTGTCGGGTTCTTGAGCGCGTTTTTCAACCGAATGCGCTGAAATTTGGTACATTGAGTTCTTATTGGGTACTAAATGTCTCCACAAAAAATTATTTTCTGGTAGCACCCATATAACGGTACCTCCTAATTTTCAGTATTTTGAGGGTTTTGATCGTATTTTTCCATCGAGTTGGATGAAATGTAGTATATGGAGTTCTTAATAGTTTGTACCTATTATGAACTCCATATCTCTCTACAAAAATTTATAAATATAGGTCCATTTTTTCGTATAGGCCCCATATAATGGTACCCCCAAAGTTTCGTTATTTGTATTTCTTGAGCGCGTTTTTAACCGAATTTGCTGAAATTTTGTATTTTGTAGTCGTATATGGTAACAACCTCCCTACCAAAAAAATTTAATATTCGCCCCCTTTTTGGGGTCGTCCCCATATAACCCTCTTTTTTATATTAAAATAGTTATACGATTTGTTCCGTGTTTGGTTCTATGACCCTGTTGTATTCATTTCATCTGCGGAACGAAAATAGACTATAGGCGAGGTGGACTAATGAATAAATATTTTGTATGAATTTGAGAAAAAATTATCAGTAAATAATACTGTTTTCGCTTACATCCATGTTCGGCCTTTGAGCGTAATGGACTATAAACAAAAAGTACTATAGTAGGAAAATTCGAATGAGAACCCAAACTAGCAAATTACAACCAAAACGTGCACAGCATCCCTAAAATACCGAATATTGGGGGTACCGTTATATAGGGGCTACACCAAAACGTTTGCAATACCAAACATTCCAGAAGTACTAGCAATGTCACTGCAAAATTTCAGAGCTCTATCTTAATTATTGCGATCACCCGGAAATGGCTAAGTCGACGTTGAATTTTATTCCCACCAAGAAAATGTATCCTTTATGCAGACTCCGATGGTTATTGGGGTGTTGTAAACGGAATGACAAATGTAATATACATCCCACCTCATGGTGGAGGATATACAAATGGTGTATAATTGCACTAGAATGCCTATATTCATCATGAATTCTGCTGGACTTAAAATGAATCATAAACTATGTCCATCCATAAGTATCTAAGGGAATCGGTTAAATAAACACAATGTACCAGTATATAAACAACATGTTAAAAATCCAATGAAGTATTTTTGTGCAACTGCATTTGTTATTTTTAGAACAATGCCAATTGACGATTAAAACAAAAATCAGGCATTTTCACTAACTAACAAACATCTCTTACCCACACAAACATAAAATAATGCAGCAGCAATGACTCCCTCTTTTGTTTGGCGTACGCATACAATTTTCATGGCAAAAACTCAACACATAACAACAACAATGCCTATTGCAACAAAGCAAATAATTCAAGTTTGAGGTTATTTTGCTGCATTGATGAATAAAACAGCAACAACAACGAACAGCAAAGTTTGAATGCATCCATCCATCCATTTGTGCAACCATCTCCTTGTCTGTCTCTTTGTCCGTCCATGCAATCTAATAATAAAAGCCTTGTCTGACTGAAGCAGGCAACAAAACAATAAGAACAAGCTTTTGTTGAGAGCAACAAACTTGAAATAATAAAAAAACACAATAGGGAGGGAGAGAGAGGCAGAACATCATAAAGAAGAAATAAAAATACTCTCAATAAAGTTTTTATTGAACAAACTCAAGTTCAAAGCTTTGCACCAAAAACAAAAATTGTGATTTTGTTTTTATTTGTAAAATAGTAAAGCTTTCGGTTAACATACATACTCGTGCACACACAGCATACATGTTTTGTTTATAATATCTATTAGACCGGCTTACGAGTTGTGGAAAATGTACAGGTTCTTTGGTAAAAATTGTTATTGGTGAAGTATGGGGAAGAAACTATGCAACTATAAACAAAAGTGCTACTCATGCACGCAAACTATGGTTATACACACGTTCTCTTTTCTTAAGTCATTTCATATGATGGACTCTCTCATAAATATTATTTTTTGGCTAATCGTTTTTAACTATGGCTCAAACCTCCTGTAATCTGGAAGCCTATAATAAAGTAACAACTATATTCCAATTATCTATCCATTGAGAGCCCAAAATGCCAAATAATGTGACATAACCCTATACCATGGCTGCTAATTTGGGAGTAGGTAATTTTCGGAATCAAAAACACTATTCCGGTTAAAGATAAAAAAGTAATATTTGGTTGGTGCGTATGAAATGTCGGATTCTTTAGTGATTGTATAAAACTGCATATCTTTCTTCAAAAGCTGTTTTTTCAATCAAAGTATGCTTCATTCGCTTCAAAACACTTCTCCCAACCAGATTTGAAAGCGCAGATGCATATCTTAAAAAATTTTGATCTTTAGAATTAGTAAACTGTGGTATAGAGTTTTTTTAGACTGTCTTTAGTTTCATAGTGTATAGTGTTTGCCCCTTAACCCTTTCAGTGTTTTTGTCGAATATATTCGACATTTAAAATTACTCTCTTTCTTTGCGATTTTTCGATTATCCTATGTACCGTTACAATTGATGTTTTTGTTTTTGCTGAAAGACAGAAAACTGTCCGAGGGTTAAAGTAAACATTGATTTTTTTCTAAACTCTGTGCCTTTATATGATCTTAAATACAAAATTTTAGATTTTTATTTCGACAACATTTTTTTTGACACTGAAGGGGTTAAAAACAGCTCTATATGCTTGAAAAAAAAAATTCAAATCGGTCGGCGAGAGATCCGGTGAATATCCACCATATTCACCGGATCTGCAAATATAGCTGCAAATATTCATAGTCGTTCAGTTTCGCAATTGTTTTATTTCGCTCTGTCAGTGCGTGCGGTACCCATTTGTCCCTCTTCTTAACCTTGCCAATCTCAGAAAGGTGTCTCAATATCGTTGTATGGTAAATTTTCATCCTGATAGCAAGTACGCTCGTGGGGAGCTTGGTTAATGTTACGTGCAGCCTTTGCAGCACTATTACCAAGTTTGTACTTATATAAGAAAATAACACGAATTTTGGCAGAATTCATATCGGCAATAAACTCAAAAGAAATAACAAAAGGGAAGACCTTCGAGAAAACCTATTTTGCTGAAATGAGTCTCTGGCAATGGGCAATACGACTATAAATGAGGTTATGCCAAAGACAAAAGTATAACGAAAACTGGGAGACAAACGTCCGCATCTAAAGGTAATCCGACATTTCATACGCACTAACCTAATAAAAATCTGAAGCATATATGAAACCAAGGAAAGGACTTTTTTTAGTATTTTTTGCACTCGTTGATATTCAAAATATCTAAAATTAGGAGAAAGCTCATACATAAAAAAAGGTGAGAAAATTTTGATTAAAATTCTCAAAATACCTAAATACTTGTGGCTACCGTTATATGGTTACTATGCCAGAACAGGGACCGATATATATATATATATATATATGTTTTAAATGCTCACCTCATGGTGGGGGATAACACTTCTCAGAATACTACCATTTAATACAGAATTAATATGATATTATTAATTCAAAGATAGGACTTCGCGGATTCTATCAGTACTCTAGATTTTGCATTTATTTATCAAAAATAATATATATAATTCCCGATTATATAATTTATTTTCTTTTTTTCAGATAAATTTCTTCAAACACCATTCTTATGAGTGATCTTCAATATTAAATTACAGAGGATTCCAAACACACAAATCATCACAGATGGCTAAGACACGTATAAAGACAACACCTACCCGAATGCAAAAGGAGGCTCAAACTGCATCCGCTGCAGTCAATTCCTCCAGTAATCGAATTGCCACAGAATCACTTCTAAAGGTAATGACAAAAAATATGTTTATACTTATCCTACTCCCTTTTACAAAGTCAATTCATCAATTTTATATCTTCCTCTATCTCTAGAAACGAATTTGTGCCCTAAATAATGCTATGCTAAAATCAAAGGATGCAATACCCATACAACAAACGTCAATAATTGTACAGCCACCGAAACGTACAAACTCCATATCATCTGCCACATCGACCATTTCCCATACCAGTGATGGCCACTGCAGTAGTATTGAATCGCCGCCGCCACAACCACCATCGTCGAGTAGTTCCACTACAACACCGCCCACCACCAATTCCAATGGACCAACTATGGATGAACTGACTGAGAATGCCATAAAAACCTTAAATGCCGGCTTGTTGGCCAAAACCAATGCATTGGCCTTAAAAAATCGTAAAGTCTATATGATTACGGAAAAGTGTGATGACAGTGGCGGGGGTGGAGATGGCGCAAGTGCGTTTGGAGGTGTTAACTGTGTCAGTGGAAATGGTACAGCCGGAAATTGTGGTACCGGAGCTGGCAAAGGTTTGGGACAAAAGCGTAAAATGTACTTAATAATGGAGGAAAAACAGACCGATGATGTGAATGGCAACGGCCTGAATGATAAATTTATGAAATCGGAAAATGGTGGCGGAACAAAGAAGTTAACTCTTTTCGCCGATGCCAGCAATGGTCAGCTGCCACAAAAAATTGAGAAAATTTTACCGGAAATCCTAAGTTGTATACAAGCTAAAGGCTGCACTGCACCAGCAAATGGCAATGGCCCGGCTATCACTGTGGCAAGTAGTAATGGAGTATTAACCAGCACTGTAAATCAGGATGCAAAAAATGAAAAGCCCACCGTAATCAATGATAATTTAAATACCAACAACAACAATATCCGCTTGAAAACTCAAGTGGATAATAATGAAAGACTGCCTTTAACACTGCCGCCAAAAAAGAATCGTACCAAAATTATAACCACACAAATTATACCAGTCAACACCAGTAACAACATCAACAATTCCCATCCCATACCATCCACCCTAAATACCAGTAATAACAGCGAACAATTAATAGTTCTAAAAGAACCACATCATAGCTTAGTGTCCACTAGCGTGCCTTGTGGAAATTCAAAAATTTGCTATACACGCAGCGATAATTCAAGTGCCACTCCGGTCATTGTAAATGCCAATTCATTGATAAACAATGGAATAGCAACTGTCGTCACTAATGGTGTTGCCAAAGAAAATGGCAATAAATTTAGTGCAACAGCTGCAACAACAACAACAACAGTCACTTGCCCAAATCCTTCGCAACTACACAAAAATATAAATCTTTCCACCGATTTTCTTTTCCTAATGAAAATGTTACCCAGACTGGAGAGTATTGCGGAGCCGCATAAATCCTATGTTAAAGCTTGCATAGAGGATATGATTAATCAGTATGCTCCGCCAGGATTGGGAGATTAATAAATAAGTTTTATTTATTTTGCTTATATAATAGATTATAAGTTATTTTTACATTTTTTAACCTATTCAGAATACCACCTCCATATGGCATTTATAGAAATTTGGTGTATTCAAAGTCACGAAAACCTATTTTTTCATAGAAATACCTTTTTTGCTTTGACATAGTCAATTATTTGCCTTAGACTTTTGTACTTTGAATATTCATATTTTATAATCCTAAACTATGTTATGTAATTCTAGAGTTCGGTTTGTGATGCATCCATATTTTCTAAAAACTATATCGGTCCAGGTTTAGACATAGCCACTAAAAACCATACACGTTGTGGGTTACAAAATGATATTGGAAAAAATGTTGGTATATATAACTATTTTAGTATATCCCCTATATATTAAATTTTTCATTTCGTTTGCAACATCTCGAAATAATCGTGGGAGACTCCATATAGTTTATATTATTGATCAAAATAAATTCGATTTGCCCAAGACTGTTGAAGTCACAATACAAATCGCAATATTTTATATAGACCTCTGAAAGTTTGCACATACATGACAAGTACTTCCAAAATATTTGGTTATGCAAATGGGATTTATGGGTTCACGTTTTCGTATAGCGCCCATATAACGGTACCCCCAGCATTTGGTACTTTGGCGATGTGGGGCACATTTTTCAACCGAATTGGCTGTAATTTGTTTTTTGTGATTTCATTATATAACTCAGCTCCCTATCAGAAATTATAAATATGGACCAGTGTTTCCATACGTTTGGGATTTGGGCAAGTTGTTCAACTGAATTTGCAGTCATTTTGTATTTCAAATTGGGGAGCAAATGTATCTACCATAGGCTAGTGGTCAACTTTTTAAGTAACACCCATATAACCTCCCAAATTACGGAATTTGAACATGTTTTCAAACAAATTGGCTGTCATTTTATATTTTGGATTCTCATTGGGGTAAAAATTTCTCTACCAAATGTTATCAAAATAGGTCACCGTTTTAGTATAGCCCACATATAACTGTAATTCCACTATTTGATATTTTGAGGATTTTAGATGTATTTTACAATTGCCACGCATAATTTTTTGAGGTATATTTAAGGTCTTAGACCAACATGAGTTTTTTCCTGTAAGTTCCGATCGATTTAAGGTATTTTGAATGTCCACTTCATGGTGGAGGGTAAAAAAGTCGGTCATCGTTTTTTTTTCTTTCTTGTTTTTCATTATGGCTTAGCTAACCTTTCCAAAATAATTCGAGGTATATAGTTCCATGTAGAGTTGGAATCTTTATTTCAAGTAAAAATGTTCGGCATGGCCAAACACAACATCAGTTTTACTTTTTTAAATTTGTCATCACAAATCGATCTACTTGAAAAGTATGAATGATAAGTATGGTATTATATTTCACATAGTTTTGAAGAAACATTTTTTTTTTAATTTATCTATATAGAATATATTTATTAATTAAGAACATACGTCTTAAATTTAGTCCATAGTACATAGGATATAACTAAGAAAAGCAAGACATCTGTGGAAACTGTACAAACGGGGACAACAACAAAAAGGAGAAACAACAAAGAACTGAAAACTTATTTTTAAAATAAATGAAAAACACAAAAATAAAATTATTAATGATATTATTAATTTAAAATAATTTATTTCCATAATTTTTCCAGTCCAAATACTGATAGAATAGTATTTATAATTTTTAAAATATATCATATATCACAATAAATATAAGCAAATAAATATACATATATTTTTTATATAGCAATACAATGAAAGCGTCATCATCATCATCATCAGTATCGTAACAATAATCATTATCATCATGATATTTATACATTTATAAAATGAAGACTGCAAATTGAAAATAGTATAAAAATAAATTTCATTTCTGATAAGAATTAATTATTAGTTTTTTTTTTAATGAATAAGCAATAATTGTAGGCATAATTTTTTTTTATAATATCTCTATGTTTAACAATAAGAACATACAAACAAAAATTTTATATATATTTTAAAAATATAAATATAAATAATAAAAAAAAACATTTGAAATAATATCCCATAATAATAAAAAAGGAATTATAAAAAACAGAAATGCAATAAAATTAAATAAATGAAATAAATTTTATTATATTTTCATAAAATCAAATTACAATTCTTGTAAATAAAAAAAGCAAATTGTTTTATTTATGAATTCCACTGAGAAACTTGAGTAAAGTAGATCAAATCAAATTAAACTGTAAATAAAAAAGCCAAATTGTTTTATTTATGAATTCCACTGAGAATCTTGACTAAGTAGATTCAAACTTATAGGAAATAGAAATTAAAACAAAAAAGATTTTCCTGACTAGTATGTAAAGGTTAAAAATTGAATCTGACGATCTACAAGATATACTCACCAAATAACAAGAATTTTCTCAATCCTTAAAAATAAAACATGGCATTTTGCTTGTATTTGTTTTTTTTTTACTTCATGTTGTTTTTTAATTTATATTTATATATATATTTTTCCAGATTCTTTATTTTTATTAATTTTTCAAAAGCATTCTTTCACATATTGTTATTACCATGTTTAAGTTTTAATATATGTATATGTGTGTGTTATTTATTTTCGAGAATTTCTGAGTTAATGTCTTTATACAATCATATATTTATATTGGTTTTTGTAATGTTAATGTCTAATTTAGTTAATACACATATATATTTTTTGTGATTAATATATTTTCACATCATGATTTCTCTGTAATATTTGTTTGAATATAATTTAATTCTCATTTCTTTATTATTGTTATTATTATTCGATTACATGGAGTATTCATATATGTTAGTACTGGTATATATTTATTTTTGTGTATTTGTATTACTTTCTAAATATCATCATTATAAAATATGTATTTTTAGGGAAAATATTATAGTATTTATATATATACTAAATTATTGGCAAAAGGAAAATGCAAGTAAGTATATAGTTTGTTTTTGTATTCTGAAAATATACATTGTTTGTGTTTTATTTACAAAAATTCTGTTTGTTGGTAAATTTTATTATGAGTAGCCATATTGAGAAGAAATATAACTCAAAGAAATTATATACAGTATTTTTCGGTTAATTGCACATCAAAATTTGCACAAATATTTGTTCAATTAACCGAGGAACCAATTATCCGAACCCGCTTAATTGAATAGTTTGTTCAATTACAGTAATGATTTAAAAAATGATTTAAAAAAATCGAATGTCAAATACAAATTACGCTTTCTCGCAGTTTTTCCTTAGCCGTAAACATATGGTTTGAATTAGTAGAGATGCCATCTAGTCTTTTTCACAAATTATGTCAAATAAGTTTGTAAAAAATTACAGATTATTTTTCAATTATTATTATGCAATTAACCGGTGAAAAGTAAAAGGAAATTTATTTTTGATGACATGATTTTTGAACCAATTAAGCGGGAAAATCAATTAACAGGGTTTAATTATCCGAGAAAATTTGCATGTATTTTCCTATGAACTATTTTTTGCCCCATCATGTGGTTCAATTAAGCGTGGAAACCAATTAACCGTAGGGTCAATTAACCGAAAAATACTGTATGAATATTTATAAATTAAATATATTTTTAAAAAATAAGATAAAGTCTCTATTAATATTTAATCTATATAAATAAGTTTTAAATTGGAGTGGATTTTTTTTATTCCAAACGTTCTGAAGATACTTAAAACTGTTTCCATTTTCAAAATACCTGTGGTATATTTAGAGGACATTTTAAAGAAGATTTCAATATGTAGGAGATACAACGAATGTCCTTTAGGAGACCAGTGGGCAACTTTTGGTGGATTTTAATTTGTAAAAGCTATGTCAAAAGACTTAAATCTTTAGATAGGGTCTTCTATAAATTTTCACCCCCATTCCGTATGTCGTCGTCGACACAAAATGACGTCGTTGAGAGTCGTTTTTTGCAAATTGGTATTCCCTATGTCGTTGTCGACATTTATCGATAACTATTGACGCATTTTTGGTATTCCATAACAAAGTGTGACGACGACGATGTCGAAGATTTCATAATTTTCATAATTTTTGTTGACGACTGAAGAGTTTGAAAAAAAAAAAATTTTAAGAAATAAAAAAATATGACCTTACAAGGACAGAATACATCATTCTAGAATCTATTCAATAATTAATGCAAAATTAGGTGTAAATAAACAAAGAAAAATACATGGGATCTATATATAAATCTGAACCGATTTTGACCAATATCAATAGGACTCGTTTATGTGTCAAATAAAGTTTCATCCCAATTGGATAGTATTTTCCAAATTTCGCCCCGTTCGGATCATAAAGGTGACATGTATCTTATTCAAAATAATAAATGGATGGAGGGACATGCATAAATCAACTCAAAAAGTAATTCTATGTACATATATACTAAAAATAACTATGGGTCTATCTCGTTTCCTTTTGAATCTTGCAAACACATGTACCAAGACATAATGCCCTGTTCCACAGTGAGTTGAAGGATACAAACACATTTTTGCACAAAAATATCAAACAAAATAAACAGCTGACCATATTTGTGGAGATGTGTTTTTTGTTTTACTGATATTATCGAAAAATAGTCGACATCGTCGCATGAGTGTTACAGAATACCAAATCAGTGTCGAAGTGATGACGATGTCGATGCGAAGTGATGTCGACAAAGAAACGTCGTCGACAACGACGACGACTTACGGAATAGGAGTGATTATTTTTTAAGAAATCTCCTTTTAAATATATTCGGTCTATAAACGATCTTCTATAAAAACTTTCACAGCTAAATAAATTAAAATACCTTTTATAGGTAGTTTTGAAATGGGTCTTTTATAAATATTGTGAATTTTTATATAGAACAGATTTCGGAAATGGCTTTAATTTCCTCAGAAAATTCTTAAAATAAATATTTTTAAAAGCAGTTTCTTAATGTATCCTTTAAAAAAAACCTTCCATGTTAAGAAGACTCAAAAAAGGGTTC